TTAGCATATAGGTATTATTTATACTCAAAATAAAATATGAGTATGATATCATGTCTTCTATCCTACATTTTAACATCCCCATGTTTAATAGATGAGCCCATTTATAAATTATTGTTAATTTAAATGCAACTCATGATATAGTATTAAATAATTTCAATTAAAGAGTCATTTGTCACATGTCTAAGTCTTTGCAAGAAAATATCATGTTTTAAATATCATTGACACGTATTTATTATATTATAATGATTTTTCAGTTTATTTATATTAATAATTTATATGCCACACAATTTTATGAATAAAGGTTTCAGACTGATATATCCCATTCTTATTTTCAAGTCTCTCAGCCATTCTATCATCCAATCTGACTACCTTATTTCACTAGTCCATATGAAGGCACAAGAAGCTTACAGAACACAAATACACTAAATCAAAAAAGCCCATTGCCAAATAATAATCAAAACACAGAACATACAGAATAAAGTAAGAATATTAAGAGTGGCAAAGGAAAAAGGTCAAGTAACATATGAAGGTAAATCTATCAGAATTACACGTGACTTCTCAATGGAAACCATGAAAGCCAGAAGGTCGTGGATAGATGTGCTACAGACACTAAGAAAGCATGGATGAAAGCCAAGACCCAGCAAAAATTTCTTTCACCATTGATAATGAAAACAAGATGTTCCATGACAAAAACAGATTAAAAAAATACATATCTACAAACCCAGGCTTGCAGAAAGTACTAGAAGGAAAACATCAACCCAAGGAAACTAACAACACCCACAATAACACAGACATTTGATAATACTCCACTAACACAACCCAAAGAAGGGAAACACATAAATACTACCACCAAAAAATAACCAGAGTTAACAACCCCTGGTCATTAATATAACGTAATATCAATGGACTCAATTTACCTATAAAATGACACAAATTAAGAGAATGGATATAAACACAGGATCCTGCTTTCTGCTGTTTACAAGAAACTCACCTTAACCTCAAAGACAGACACTACCTCAGAGTAAATGGTTGGGAAAATGTTTTTTAATTAAATGGACCTAAGAAACAAGCAGGTGTGGATAACCTAATATCTAACAAAATTTATTTCAAACTAAAATCAATCAGAAGAGATGGAGAAAGACAGTTTGTATCATAACAGAAACAATTCATCAGGAAGAAGTCTCAATTATGAATATTTATGCCCCTAATATAAAAGCATCTACATAGGTAAAGAAAACATTAGTAAAACTCAAATAACACATCAAACCCCACACACTAATAGTAGGAGATTTCAACACTCCTCTCTCACCAATGGACAGGTCAACCAGAAAGAAATTTAACAGAGAAATAAGAGAACTAACAATTTTAATGAATCAAATGGACTTAACAGACATATATAGAACATTCCACCCAAACAGGAAAGAATATACCTTCTTCTCAGCATCTCATTGAACCTTCTCTAAAATTGATCACATACTCAGTGTCAAAGCAAACATTCACAGATACAAAAAAATAGAGTAACCACCTATGTCTCATCAGATCACCATGGAGTAAAGGTAGAATTTAACAACAATATTATACCCAGAAAGCCCACAACTCATGGAAACTGAACAGTTAACTACTGAACCACCCCTATGTCAAGGAGAAATAAAGAAAGAAATGAAATCTTCTTTTAATTCAACAGAGATGAAGGCATAACATATCCAAACCTATGTGACACTATGAAAGCAATGCTAAAAGTTCATAGCACTAAGTGCCCACATAAAGAAAACTCACACTAGTGACTTAACAGCATGCCTGAAAGCTCTAGGAAAAAAAAAAGGAGACTCACCCAGGAGGAGTAGAAGACTGGAAATAATCAAACTGAGGACTGAAATCAACAAAATAGAAACACAGAAAAGAATCAATGAAACAAAGAGCTGTTTCTTTGAGAAAACCAACAAGATTGACAAACCCTTTCCAAACTAATCAAAAAGCAAAGAGAGAAAATCCTAATTAACAAAATCAGAAATGAAAGGGGGCATAACAACAGACACTGAAAATATTCATAGAATCATTAGGACTTACTACAAAAGCCTGTATCCCACAAAATTGGAAAATGTAAAAGAAATGAACAATTTTTTAGATAGATACCATATACAAAAATTATATCAAGACAAGGTGAACAATTTAAATAGACCTATAAGTCAAAAGGAATTAGAAACTGTCATCAGAAAACTCCCTACCAAAAAAAGCCCTTGACCAGATGGTTTCAATGCAGAATTCTACCAGAACTTCCAAGAAGAGCTAATACCTATACTCCTTTTGTGTTTTACAAAATAGAAACAGAAGAGTCATTGCCAAACTCCTTTTATGAAGTTACAGTTATCCTGAAACCAAAACCACACAAAGACTAAACCAAGAAAGAGAATTACAGACCAATCTCAATCATGAACATTGATGAAAAAATTTTCAATAAAATACTAGCAAACCAAATTCAAGAACACATCCAAGAAATTATCCATTATGATCAAGTAGGCTTCATCCCAGAGAGGCAGTAATCGTTCAACATAAAAACATCTATCAATGTAATCCATCATAATTTATATGATTTATTTAAAACTGAAGGAAAAAACATATGATCATTTCATTAGATGCTGAAAAACTATTCGACAGAATTCAACACCCCTTTATGATAAAGGTCTTGGAGAGATTAGCGATACAAATTTCATTCCTATATATAATAAAAGCAATACACAGCAAGCTGACAGCTAACATTAAATTAAATGGAAAGAAATTCAAAGCCATTCCATTAAAATCAGGAACATATCTAAATTTAATATAAAGCAATATACAGCAAGCCTACAGCTAACATCAAATTAAATGGACAGAAACTCAAAGCGATAGTACTAAAATCAGAAACAAGACAAGGCTGTCCACTCTCTCCATATCTCTTCAATATGGTGCTTGAAGTTCTAGCAATAGCAATAAGACAACATAAGGAGATCAAGGAGATTCAAATTGGAAAGGAAGAAGTCAAACTTTTGTTATTTGCAGATGATATGATAGTGTACATAAGTGCCCCCAAATCTATACCAGAGAACTCCTACAGCTAATAAATACCTTCAGTAATGTGGCAGGATACAAGATCAACTCAAAAAAAAATCAGTAGCTATCCTATACACAAGGGATAAAAAAGCAGAGAGGGAAATCAGAGAGGTATCACCTTTCACGATAGCCACAAATAACATAAAATATCTTGGGGTAACTCTTTTCTTTTTCCATACATAAAGAGAATCCAATAAATATATGCTTAACTTATAATAGCTATTTTACAAAGAATAATTTGGGTGCCTACATATTAAATAAGTATTCCAAACTCTCATATTAGGGAAGTGTGTGAAAGAGATAAAAAAAACCCTCTCCAGCATTTTGTTTCTTTTTTTCCTAAGGCAAGCATATGAAAAACCTATTGCTAACCATGCTATTTTTAAGTTTAAAATCATAAAAATAGTATCAAGCAATGGAAAAACATAGATGAGATGCCACACATCAGAAGAAATTTGGGGTGAGATGGGGAAATTTTTGTAGGGGCTAGAATACTGACACAATGTATGTAAGATCTTGTGATTGCTTCCCAGAATAACATGTAATGATTTGTAATGGTTGTAGGGACATCGACAGACATTAATATCTGAGGTATGTTGCTGAGCTATTTGAACAGTTTTTGATAAACCAGTTAGAAAACCAAAAGGCAATTTCCACAGTATTGCACCTTTTAAGTGGTGGAATAGGATAGGTAAACACATACATAATTGGCTTCCCTGAAGAGATGAAGATGATTAAGTGATAGAAGTTCAATATTGCCTTAAGAAAGGCTGTTTGATCCCCAAAGAGAAGGACTTGAAAATAAGGACGAATCATGTTCTAGCCTGCACATGCACACACATTGCCTTTTCATATTTAAGCTCTGCTCACTTGGAGAAGTTAGAGACAGCATCTATTCTCTAAGTGCATCATAAAATTAAACTCATTTGAAGCTTTTGATATCACATAAGTGGCCAGTGTGATACAAAGAAAAGACTGTGGAATAAGGAACAGCATTTCAGTCCATACAGAAGAGTTCAGAGTTATGGCTGGGTGATGTGAGAAAACAACCTTGCACAAAAACATTTCTTAGGACCAAAGCAAAAAGATAAGGAGCCTGGAGTTCACATTCAGGAGAAGAGTAAATAACTATGTCGAGGAAACAACAGGATTTTCTTCTTCACCTTTGACAGCATCACTTGATGTACTTTCTCATAAATTCCACCAGCTGATATCCTGTCTGCCTGCTCATGCTGCGTATATCTTATTATAACCAAACACATATGGGAAATAATGAAGATTTACAAGTTAATACTGCTGCTTTCTGACTGCAGAGTGACATCACATTGATGTGAATATTAGGATTCATAATTTGATTTTTTTCTCAACAGTGTTTTCTATACTATCTTGATTGCATTTGTCAGGAGAGTTCACTATAAAATCGGGCAGGAAATGTTCAGAGTCACTGGACATCAGATTTCAATAAAAGCTGTCTCTCCATTAACACATCTCAAATTCTTCTACACATATCAATTTTCTTAAGACATTTGTCTTGCTTTTCTCTGTGTTCACCCAAGGATGGAGCAATAAAGAGAGGGTAAGAGAATAAAGTATGTCCTGGCCAGAACAACTCCCCATGTCCAGTTGTTAAAGATCCCTGCTGGCATGTAAGTCTATCAGATTACACCCACAGGCAAGTCTATGATATTCTTCGCATATTTTTAGACCATAGACTCTAATATGGAGTAGACATTTTAACTCCATATCATCAGAAAACCAGAAATAGAGTCACTGATTTCACATGGGCTAATTCTAGACATTCTCAGCATGTTCTTCATGTTTATAGATGAATATATTTATTAGATGCTCGCTCTGTGTGTTCCTCAAATTTTACCATATATTTTTCCATTTCTTCAGATCTCTTAGAAAAGAAAATGGCTCTGACAAATGACTCTATAGTAACGGAATTTGTTCTCTTAGGGTTAACAGTCAAACCCGAGTTACAAATACCCCTTTTCATAATCTTCCTAGTAACATATATTATAACATCATTGGCGAATTTAGCTTTGATCATTCTAATTGTGCTGAATTCTCACCTCCACACCCCCATGTACTTTTTCCTCTGTAACTTGTCCTTCATTGACCTCTGTTACTCTTCTGTTATTACACCCAAAATGCTGATGAGCTTCTTATTAGAGAAGAACATTATCTCCTATATGGGATGTATGACTCAGCTCTACTTCTTTTGTTTCTTTGCCATTTCTGAATGTTATCTTCTAACATCAATGGCCTATGATCACTATGTGGCTATCTGCAATCCACTCTTGTATAATGTTGCCATGTCTCCTAAGATGTGCTTTTATCTTATGCTTGGGTCATATTTGACGGCATTTTCTGATGCCATGAACCATACAGGATGTGTTCTGAGATTATCTTTCTGCAACAGAAACACCATTACCCATTTCTGTGATCTCCATCCTCTGTTCCAGCTCTCCTGTACCAGTACATATGTCAATGAGATAGAGGTTTTCATTGTAGGGACAAAA